CTAAGCCTGCAAGCCACAAACACCTTCACCTGACCAAGAACTAATACCCTTACTGAGTTAATTCCTCAAGTTCATAAATTGTCCAAGCACTTTTATTAAGCACTACAAATCAATATTTAGAGAAAGTCACCCCTACATACCAAAGATCAGTTGTAGTTGAGATGGTCACTTAGGCCATGTTTGGTTCACTGCTTTGGGCCTCATTCTTTTATTTCTTGCTCATTCTGAAAAAGAATAAATAACATTAGAGTGTTAGGCTACAAAATTCTAGCCATGGGCCACATTCTTTTTAGAATGAAAAATCAGCCCACAACACAAAAATTGGGGTAGCTTGCAGGCTGCAGCATGAAAAATAATCATGCTTCATGTTGCTCATTTTCATTCTTTTAGAAAACTTTGCCTATAAAACTTCTGCCATAGATGTGCTTACCAGTGGGCTACCATGGAAGTATTTTTATGAAAGCACTTTTACAAAAGTACTTTTACATGAAAGCACTTTAATAAAAGCATTTTTACAAAAGCACTTAAAGTACTTGTACACGAAAGCACAAAAGTGCTTTTACAAAAGTACATTTATGAAAGCATTTTTTGTAAAAGCACTTTTGCGAAAGTACTTTTATAAAAGCACTTTTACGGAAGTACTTTTATAAAAGTACTTTTACAAGAAAACACTTTTATGAAAGAACTTTTACGAAAGAACTTTTACAAAAGTACTTGTGAAAGTAATTTTATAAAAGTACTTTTGTGAAAGTAATTTTATAAAAGTACTTTTGTGAAAGTAATTTTATAAAAGTACTTTTATAAAAATACTTATTTTTATAAAAGTAATTTTATAAAAGTACTTTTACATAGGACACTTGTCAGTCTCAAAAGAATTCATTTTTAGGAAAAAAGTATTTGATTGATAGCAATATTTTCTCATTGTGCCTATTTTGCCCATTATTGTCCATTTTAGAATTTCATCTTAGGTAAGAATGAGAAAGAATGAAAATTGAGCCAAACATGACCTTAATGTCTCTCAAAAAATTGGAGATGCAGGATCAAATCTAATTAATTGCAAGCTCTCCATGACCTGGCCAATAGAGCCTCATATGCACCTACTCTATCTCCACCTAAGCCTCCCAATGTTTAATATATATTAGCAACATTTAATAATTTGTGGGCACTAAAATTTGCTTCTCTAAATAGTGAAAAAGAAGGATTTGCCAGTCTCGATGTAACAACTTGGAAACGTCTGTGACTAGATTTGCCAATTTTCAGCTCTTTTTTCTTGTATGCCCAAATCTGCGTTTTGAATAGCGCAACAGTACATCACCACACTTACAAGTTATAAACCCCCTCCCCAAATATGGTGGTAGCAGGATTAGAATCTCATCTCCGTCTCTACCAGAATGAATTAGTTAATATATTATATACCAACTAACCCACCCTTCAGTTAAAATCGCTTATCTAGCTAGAGACTAGGAGGTATTTTGTAGTGTGGATGAGAAATTAGTGGGTGTGGACTGGTCCATACCACACCCTATGGCAATGACCAATCCACACCACATCACAGTCTACAGTTGTTCTGAACTGTGGATAGAATGTGTGCGGACTAGTCCACACTCACGGTGATGTTCTATAGGTGTAGTGTGGACCAGTCTACACCACACTTTTTGATTCCATGTATCTCATATACATTTCATGGGAGGTCTATACAGTCGATCATAAATGTCTAATTTTTGTATTTTATATGATAAATAAATTGAGAAAAAAGCATCAACAAATTAATATGTAGGTAACAATTGCATTTTCTAAATAATTAAAAATTATTATTTTAAATATTAAATTTTTTTAAAAATTATATTTTAAATATTATTTTATTGATAAAAATATTAAAAATTTAATATTTAAATAATAAAAAAGAGTGGAGAAGGAGAACCATTGGACTTGTGCTAAAATTAACATTAAAAATTATTATTTAATTGATAAAATATTAAAAATTTAAAATTTAAAAATGATTAAAAGAATAAATAAATGAAAGTAATTGGACTAATGTAACACAGGTGCGTTACATTGAAACCTTCCCACAAACTGTCCACACCATAGTGTGGACCATCCACAAGAAAATATTGTAGACAATAAATTGGGGCATAGCTTGTCCCTGTCCACGCTATTTTGTGGACAGGAACCGTCCACACATAGTAAAACACCATATCTTACCGTGGACAGGACCAGTCCACGATATTTATACACTACCAAACACCACCTAGAATTTACCCCCACCCACATTTGAGCCACATTATTGGATGTATAACAATAGTGCCCATCATGCCAATTGCCAAAGGCTGCCCACTCTGGTGACAGTGTGATGCGATGACGGCAATCTTTTTATTTTTCCTATGTAAAAATTTTATTAAGGTTCAGTTTTGAAAGAGTGCAAATATAATTATACATGGTACAAATGCATACAAAATGTAAGGTTTTACACTCTACATATTTGTATATTTGTATTTGTATTCTTTCTAAATTGAGCTTAAAAAATTTAAAAGAATCAACTAACATGACATTGCACTGTGCATTGGGAGCAAATTTTTTTGCTGCTCCATCTACATTAAGTTTGGCCCACCCTCCAATATTAGTAGGGCTACAATTTGGGTGGACTTGAACCAAGAATTTGCCAAATTTTGAATAGGCCCCCTCTATGGTCTAAGCCTGATGTTGTATAAATGTTTCAAGTCCAGGCCCTGACTTGCACCCCGATCCAAGAAGTCCGGATCTGCTCCTCACAAAGTGCTCCTCGCACTGACCTCAGTATATATCAGCCGTAAATCGGAAACATCTCCCATAGTCATACTTGTATATTATTATTATTATTATTATTATTATTATTATTATTCATGGTAGATGTTCCCCATACATGGTGGGATGTAACTGTGAGGTTAGTGTGAGGAGCAGATCCCAATTCTTATCCACTGCCCACCCCCCTTGATGAGATTCTTTGCAAGTAAAACTTTGCATACACTCTGAAAACATTGAAATATAACCACACATTAGGAACATCTTTTCATGAATTTAACATACATGTACAGGAGATATTCCCAATGTATGATTGGGATCAGATGTGTGTAGAGTTTCTGCTACATGTAAAGAAGATATTCCCAATGTATAATTGGGATTGGATGTTGTGCTATGTGTGCAGAGTTTTTGCTTTCAGGAGATCTGCCCCAGCCCCCTTTTTGAAACTAGCTCTCCTTGAATAATACCTTGGATCTATTTGTTCGTCTGTATCTTGGAAGGCATCAATGTTCAGAGAACCAGACCGGGCATTGACCCGACAAAGGCAGAGGTTCACGGGTCAGAGGTTCAAACGGGGTTAAACCGTTTAAATTTAAAAATCGGTTTGGAATTTAGAAATCAGTGGAAGAAGAAGAAGGTGGAGGAGGAAAGGAATCGGCCGACAGAGTTGGAGGGAGAGGGGCACGGTGAACAAAGTCCACTGGTGGGAAGAAGAAGAGAGAGAGAGAGAACTTGTCGATGGTGACGGTAATGGCGTCAGCAGAGATGGGGGCGCCAGTGGTGGTGGTCAGTTCGATGGTTTTGAGGTTTTTGAATTTGGGATCAATTGGATTTGGACGTAAGGGCCTGTTTGGCCCAATTTAACTTTTTTTTTTCTTTTGTGCTAAATCTGAAAATGAAAAAAACCGGCCACTTATACAAAATCAGGACCGGTTTTATGGTTCTCTGGTTGAACCGGCCAGGTGACCGGTTATTCTCGGTTTTTTTGACATGCCAGTTTTGGGGGTTTATCCAAACCGACCAGGGGCCGGTGGTGGTCCAACCGGCCGGTCCGGTCCGGTTTTCAGTACATTGATTGACATACGTCCCACTTTATGACCTCAGTTCTGAGTTGAGGTTTTCCCTTCTCGTGTTTTTCCACAAAGTAATAGGACACATGATATATGTATATATAATGGGTTGGGCCAGGTTAGAAATAATCACGTTACTGAGAAGATTTTCAAATTTGAACAACCTGCATCCCAAGTTGTGTTGGGTTTGGCTTAGCTGAGGTTTAAGTTGACAAAATTGGACTTTAACCTCGATTCAGGGCTGGGCCTAAGGCTCATTGTGTTTGGAATTGGTCTATAACTCTACCAACTCATTTAATTTATACCCCTACTTTATGAAGAATTTAGAGAGATTGAAGATGAGAGGAAGGGATTTAAGAGAGAAAAGTTAAGATGGATTTTATTAGAGATAATGAGACTTGAGATGCTTATGTAGTTTTTTATATTTTAATTTAAAAATAAATAAACCACAGAAAGGAGAGGGGTGTGTGTGTATAAGCATTGAGATGAGAGGGCTCCTGACCTCCCTCTTTATTTTAGGGGTTCTGTTGGTTGGATGTTTAAGACAAGTTAGCCTGCTCTTAAAGTCTATGGTTGGTTGCAGTTGACAGCTGGGATCGAATTCCCCCTTCGCCCAACATCCGGATTGGGGGACTAGAGAACACGTAGATCTCATTTGCCCTGCAAACAAATAAAGTCTTAATAACCAAGCCATTCCATATGAACACATTATATCATTCTTATAAATATAGACAACCATTTGAACCTTGGAATTTGCTACAAAATATGAGAATTCTCTATTTCTATGCATGTGGGTTGAATTGTCTTCTGTATTTATTGTTATAAAAGAGACCTCATTTTCCTTCCAAAAATTCACTAAGGCTGCATTTGAAAATGATGCAAATGGAGTGTAAATCCCAATTTAGGGTAAATTTGTATTCTAGTTCACTTTTGCCTGACAACATTACATTTATGCATTAACAAATGACAGAAAACACATTTTCCAATGTATATTTACATTGATGATAAGATATAAAAGTACATCAATAAAAAAGAAGTAAATTTGCATTCAAGTGGGCTTTTGATAAAAAAAAAGGTATATGCTTTATTGGATTGCATCCATTACAGCTAAAAGTTTGTTTGGTAAGAAAATAAATTTATCAGTGCAAAACTAACCCAACTTAACAATTTATATAGACCGTTTTACACTCTACATATTTGCATTGTTTCCAAACACAGCCTAATAATTCCACCCACCATACCAAAAAACTCACTAATCATACAACAGCATACAACCTTATAACCTGATCTATCTTGGCACGGCAAACCGGGCAGCCCCATTTCTTGGCTTTGATCTCATTCAAACAAGACATGCATCCAGCCATGTGGCCACAGGGGATGCATGCCCCCTCAATTGGAGCATCCAAGCATATTATACATGACGAAGAACCACCATCTTTCACCTCGCTTGTTCTGGACAGTCCATCCACGGTTGCAGCGGATGAATCAACTGGGCTAGAGTCGATTGACGGATAATGAATAGGACCATCATCTGCAACCACTTCAGGAATTGGTGGAGCTGATGGAGTTGAAGAAACAGCTAGAGAAGACACATGGGCAGCTTGGATATGCTGATTGGGATTCCTACTTGGTCCAGCTTCTGAAATACCCCATCCATTGCATGCATCGTTAACTGGTTCACCCAACCATCCACTACTACTAGCTTTCGAATGAGGTGCAGGTCCTCCACTTGGGCCCCAACCATTATAACTGGAATTATCTACAGAGTCCCCCCAACCATTTGTGTGGCTTTCTTCAGGGCCCGAGTGGATGTTTGGAATAATTGGTGGTCTCTCTTCCCTCAGTGACTGGAGGGAGGCACTGATTGCCATGGCCAACTCTACATCTTCTGCAGTAGATGGGGGTGCAGTTGCTGGAACAACTGGTGGAGTCTGGGTATTAGATGACAGTGGGGGATGTACCTGCAAATATTAAGTCAAAAACTGAAATGTAAGCATCCTTTCAATGACCAGAGAAGGCAATTTCACCTAGTACACTACAAGTACATGAGGCTTCACTCTTTTATTGTTAAAACTGTCGTTAATTTTACATTAATTGCAAGGCCAACAAGCAAATGCTAGTTACATACTACATCTGAACAAATTCATGTGCATGGACAACTAGATGCAAATCAAAATCTCTAACGTGAGTGATATGAAGGTTTTTAGCTATATTGCATATTACCATTAAATTCTGAAAGACGAAAGTAATATGCTATAAAACTATAAATAAAAGAAGATGATTCAGATGCATGGTGCGCACAGGACTCTGGCCATGAGCAAAGCATTAGTAAAAAGAGAACCATTGCATATAACCCAAATTCCAAAATCACTCAGCAAGTCATGGTCCACCCCAAACTTGTTCGAACTTCAAATATGATAGATATCTATACTTTTTTTGACGAGTAATAGTAAAATTTTGTTAATTCATATCCTGATTTAGAAGTGTAATTTCGTACAACCCATGGAGAGGCAAGAGCTGCAACCCCTCCTAGAAGCTTACAAGTACACTAAAATAAATTACAGAATCACAGTTGAGCCCAAAACATTTCTTCCCTATTTACCCCTTGTTTGGCTAACACATCAGCCATACCATTTTGATCTCCCCACCCACTGTATAGAAACCAACATATTCCTTGTCAGCCATATGACTTTCTTAATTTCATTCTTGTAGCACCAGATGGTATCCTCAGGGTTTTTCAGCCAGCCCATCACCACCTTGGAATCCCCTTCAATTATTAACTGCTCTACCCCCAATTGGTTTGCAAATTGTACCCCTTGTACAGCAGCTAATAGCTCTGCCCTAATAGTCTCCAAGTCCTACTCTCCACTCTCGTTCCTTAGAACACCGCCCCCCCCTCCCCCCCCCAATTCCAGAAGGCCCTGGGTTACCCAAGCTACTTCCATCAAAGTTCACCTTCAGTGAACCTTCAGACAGAGGAGACCACCTTGTAACTATCTTGTTCTTGAAGGACGAGCACCTTGCTACTGCTAACCAATTTCTCCTAAAATCATTATATGAAAATTGTTGAAAATTTTCCAAAGTCTTCAACCAATGTATTGCCTTATTCAACAGTCTTTTAATTCCTAGCTGCTCCTGTCCTCTTGAAAAATTCTAGCATTCTTTTCTTCCCACAGTGTCCAAATTAGGACTGCTTAGACACATCTCCACATAATTCTCCCTCTTTTTGTAGGCCAAGAAAAAGTAGAATGGTCAAAGACCATGCAAAACTTCTGCTGGTAAGCTCCAACTACTCCCAAACAGCAAAAGTAATCAAGCCCATAAGTCTGTAGAAAAAGGACACACTATTAATAGACGGTAACAATCCTCCCCATGAGCTCTATAGAGGGTACACCAGTTGGGAGAAATACAAAGGAAAGGTCTTCTCTTTTGTAAGTTATCTAGAGTGTTTATTTTCCCATTATAGATATCTATACTTGAATCCTCCCTCTTGCATTCAGGCTTTAATGCTTGCTGATGCTATCACTATTTCTTATTATCCTTAGATGCGCTTGTCATAGTGTTTTAGATAATACCCTAAGGATAAATTTAAGAAAAAAGAGCAGCTAGCTTCATTGAACATGATTAAGCTTCAAAACTGATTACTTCTGGTATGGCACTAGAGCCCTCAAAGGTAGGGGTGTAACCGAGCCACGCTATTCAAATTTGGCTTGCTAAATACTCGAAGATAATCGAGTTTGAGTCAAGCCCGACTCAAGTTGAGTTTGAGCTTCGCAATACCCAACTCGAGTGGCTCAAAAATCTAATTGAGCTTATAATAAAATATTAATTTTTAATATATTTTTTAAAATATAACTAAATATTAATTTATTTATAATATAAATAAATAAATTTATAATCTAGTTTCATATATTTTTATATATAATAATTTAATATTAATATATTTATAATCAGCTCAAGTCAAGTTCAAATAGGGAAACTTGAAACTCCGTTGAGCTCAAGTAGTTCAATACTCAACTTGACTCATCTCAATTACAGCCCTACTCAAATGTAAATATTTATATCCTTTTATTTCCCATGCACATGTCCACCACAGCCACAAAACCTATCAACTTCAACCATCTCACGACAACCACAACTCTTGTTAACCTTGATCCAATTATACCCACCTCATCTAAACAGACCTGGAAATGGGACCACTTTCTGTCTAGGTGGCAGGCTAGCAGTTCAACCATCAAGGTCAAATGGGTCAACTGTGATGTCATAAATTAAATAAATATATAAAAACATCAAAAATACAGGGAAATATAAAAATTTACAAAAACTCTGCAAGAAAAATGTGGTTATGTCTCTAATATTGTATATTCATCATATTAAACAAAAATAAGTTTGATAAATGAGAATTGTTGCCACCAATGATGGAAATGACTAAAAATGAGAGTAAAAGAATAAATGTCTAGGCCAAGGTTTCAAATATCAATACACACCGATATGCCAGATGGGCCGTATCAGGTGATTCGAGTTTTTTCAAAACTTGCCAAGAGGGGTCGGTCTAAGGCTTCTCTACCCC